ACTGATTTCAATTGAAAGCCTGCGTGCGCTACTACCGCTTGCCACCAGTTCCCAGAATCCTTTGCGGTTTTACCCCTGAATGACGTCACATTTTCAATCTCTATATAATATGTATGTTAAATTATATATTTGGAGTAAAATATCAAGTCTTTTCAAGTAAACCGGTTCAAGTCCAATTCAAGTCCCAGGTCATTGGTGTAAAAGTCCAAGTCAAGTCACAAGTCTTAGAACATTTTTTCAAGTCAAGTCTAAAGTCATAAAATTAATGACTCGAGTCTGACTCGAGTCCAAGTCATGTGACTCGAGTCTGACTCGAGTCCAAGTCATGTGACTCGAGTCCACACCCCTGGTTTCAGGGCAGCTCAGGTTAGTCTAAACCCAGCCTCCTGCTTCCTGTGAGACTTAACTAACTTCAAACCTCTCACGCTCTCCAAGCCTTCGTGGACTCTGGTTGTGAGCAGTTTTAATAGATGGGTCTACCCCTCAGCTGGCTCTCCCATTGGTGTCCCTTGAACCTCCCATCCCAGCCTTGGCCCTCAATAACAAGGTTTTTGCTCACATCACTCACAAAACCAAACCCGTCCAGCTTATCATATAAAGCAAACATCGGGAAACTATAACCTTCTTCACATTCCCATCCCCAGACACTCCACTTATCCTCACTTTTCCCTTGCTTAAGAAGCACAACCCGCACTTGTACTGGACTACGGGCAATGTATTTAATTGGAATTTAACTTGTGATTCCCTCTGTCTTTATCCAGCTCTGCCTTTGACTCCCAGTTCCACTAAGCCCACGGACACAACCTCTCCCGATCTCTCGCTCGTTCTTAAGGAGTATCATGACCTTCAAGGTGTTTTCAGTAAGGAAAAATTACTCTCCCTGCCACTGCATCAACGCTCTTCCCTCCAGCCCAGTATAACCTTTCTTGGCCGAAGAGGCCAAGAAAAATATATTGAAAATATGGAAAATGGATATGGAACAATTCTTCCATCTTCTCAACACACTTTTATTTTTTCTTCCACGATTGCCAAAAATCACAAAACCCCTAAACAAAATGGAAAAAAAACCCCAAAAACCTGTGACTGTCTTTTACCCTTAGTTCAGGTTGAATTAGACTCCAGGCAAAACATCTGAGGTCTCTATCCAGAAGATCAGAGTTCTAGGAACAATTAATATACTGAGTAGAATTTCAAAACTCCCGTCCATTATGTAGAGGATTTGAGCTTGAGAAGGACACACATACTACCAGAGCAATTTTATTTCTTGTTGACATGTATGTTTATAATATCTTCCACCAGCCTTACAGTTGGTAGATGACCTACTTTACCACCTCTTTACAACCAAACCTGACTACTTTAGATTTTACCTTCTGCCTCTGGTCTAGTTATTCCTTCAGCACTTTGTACTTATATTCTCATTCTTTCTGATGTTTGTCTCCATTCGGATTGCCACATCTATCACAACTGTACCCTTCAGCTTGACATGCTTTGTTAAGGACAGGACCCAAACGCAGGACTTTCCTGGTGAACCACAGTGAATTTAGTTACAGTGTAAGAATAACCAACTTGAAGCAAACAGTGTCCCAAACAGCAATTTCCTCCATGGCAAAATTCCTGACTCCCGTGTGGTGCTCTGTGTAAGAGTAATCCAAACAGCAGTGCTCACTCCTTTTGTTTCTCCTCCCGTGGTAACCTAACAAAACAAGACGTAATGATTTTACAAGAGTTCTTTGCAACATGACGGACTGTGACACACTTCAGTTTTTATGAGCTGGAATTGTACTAATAGATACACTGAACGATCCCGCGTTGATCGAAGCCCAGCCACACTGTTAAATAGCTGACTGTTGACAAGGCTCGTTGTCAGCAGGTGAATCCCGATTGCGATCATGTGTGGTTGGCCTCAACTGACAACCACTCAATGACAACCCATGACACAGCTCCTTGTGCTTGGTCCTGGTCCAAAAGTGCTTTACTGGTCGGTGAAACGTGACATTACACAGGACCTTAGTCCTGTTTTCAACCACCATTGGTTTCTGCACAACCACTTATTCTCTGAGTGTATACTGTCCCAGCTTGCATCTTACCTCCTGCTACTATGTGTTGGCTAGTCTGTGGGTCACCTTTACACAATCTACAACAACCAGCTGTAACCCAGGCAGCATGGACAGACAGGAAGAGGAACCCACAGCACTGCAGGAGTCAAAGGACAGTGCACAGAACTAAAGCCCAGGAAGGACACCAGCCAGCACAATCAGGCCACCAAGGGCTCTGAGGCACAGGCCAACCCTAACCCCATAGGCCATAGGTCTTGTGTTGATGTTATTGCACTAGGCTTCCAGGCACTTCTTAATCAGGGTGGATGTTGGTCTTCTATTCATCAATAGTTCTCACATCTGTTGGATATAAAAACGCTTAAAGAATGATTTAGCTTTTAACAACACTTAATACACAAAACCAAGCAAGCAACCAAACAAACAAACAAAGAGGGGATCAGAAAATATAAAAATACTTTTCTCTGTGTTTACATATAGTTTTACACAGTGATCTAGTTTATTTAAATTATTTATTTATTTAATTTATTCTGAAGTTTCGCTTGTAACAAAAAATCCCCCCTAACTGTAAATAAAACTGCACCATTTAATTAAGTAATTCATTAATTTTTAAAGTCTGTTTCACTTCCTGTGTGTTTGTATGAGGATGCAAAAATCTGAAATGTGAAGACTAAGAAAATACTTTTTATTCTTTAATAAATGTAAGCCCAACTCAAATGCCCATTTTTTGTTGCATGACACTTTGCTCAAATCTTGTGGTTTACAAAAACCCTGTTGTGGCACTTTTTTTCAAGCTTGAATTAAGTTATATAATTTTGAGCAATTCTCTAAACCAGGGAAATTTATGGTCAATTAAGTCTGTAATATAGTGTTATTACAGGGCATCAGAGAGGGGAACGCCACTGGCAGATAACTCACTGTACAATGAAAGAGCCACAAGAGGGCAATGGCGGGTCAGCCTTTTGCACAGTTTGAATGACTGGCAGCTGTTTAGATTAAGCTGAACTTTTAGATGACAGAAAGCAGATCTGTGGGATTCACCAACCATAATTCAGTAAATCAAAGTGGCTTCACTCACAGTGAGCCTTATTTCACTACTGCGACCCCAAGGTGCATTTCACATATTAGGGTGAATTACAATAACAGCGTTTGGCTTTGTTGCTCCAGTGACTAGCCTAGAAAATTGCTTAAGGTTATCTCTGGGCTACCTTTGCGGAATAATAGAATTACATAATCATTATGGGCCCTAATTGCACAGTGCAGAAAGCCTATTGGATTTGCATTGTATTGCACATAATAAGTGCAGCTGTTTTGCTTGAGGGATAAGAAAGCACTAAAAATAGACCTATTAGAAAATATTCCCATATGGTACATTAATGTAAGCTTTTTGCAGTGCATGAATAAGAAGAAAATTTTAATGGATGGGAGTGGTTTTAAAATCCATAAAACAAAAAGGAAAAACATTCAGTTCCTTTACTTATGTAGAAGTAGCAGTACAATATAAAATATATTTTACTACTACTATTATATATTAGGCTTTCTTTATAAAGCAAGTAAGACCAATACAATTAAGTTACAGACTAATTTTAACGACACCAACAAGCAAAAAATAGAAAAAGATAATAAGTACCAGTGAAAGACTAAAAGGACTAAAAGCAAATAGATGAAAGAAATGACAACATGGAATTTGCTTGTATGTGATGTCACGTGACATGATTGTATTGTTAATAGTTATGTGTCAATAAATATGCATTTTATTCAGTAACTATTTCATATAGTTCTGTAGTGCTTTAAAAACAGAATAAACAATTTGGAATGGCAATTCCCAAATAAGGTTGTGGCAAGAAAAATCTAATGTAGTCTATATAACTATGCAAAAACGTATCATTTGATTACATATAAGATGTATCCATCAATACATTAACTGAGATGTAAATGTAGTAGGAAAAAAAAAGGCAACATTTGTATCTGAGATACAGTGGAGTACAAATACTTTGCATGGTGAATTGTATTTAGGTTGACTTAAATAGCTCACTTTGGCAGCACTTGTGACCTCACCATTTCATCTTCTGCTGATGAAATGAGAGTGGACGGATTTAGTTGAACAGAGAGAGAGAGAGAGAGAGAGAGAGAGGAGGGGAAATGAAGAGAGAAAGGGAGGAGGGGCGATGCTCTTACTACAGTGTGTGTGTGCTGAGGAGGCTGTCAGTGAGGATAGTGATACAAAGGATGCTGAATGCTGAAGCTGTGCTGTTGGCATTATACCTTGTGTCACACTGAAGCAGCCTGCTCCTGGCAGAAAAAAAGAACAACACAACATCTGTCTGAACACCTCAGGTAAGTCCTCACACCCTCTTTCATTTATTTTAATGAGAAGAAGAAAATGACCTTGGAAAGCTTTTAGTTTAGACTTTTTTTTTTCATTTTTGTTTCTTTTACTTCTTCCTTGCTTCACTGCTACCTCTGAATTTTGCATAGTCTCTGGTTTACTTTAAATGTTTTTCAAGCAGTCTTTAAAAAATGAGTGCTAACTCAAAACACTTAAATTTAGATATTTTCCTAAAAGCTCTGATTTTTTTCTTTTAAATAATAAAAGAATGTAAAAGCTCTGACACCAGTTTATAAGTTTAGAAAATTCTTTATCCATATTAGCATATTTTGGATTCATTTTAATACAGTTATATGACATTACATTAATATAGACATGATAAATATTTCAAAAATATTTCTTTATTTTTTGTATTTTGCATTTGACTAAACAAATTACCTAATGCCTGTACTACAAATTCTTGTTTTTTGCTGGCTGACATTTGACTTGACAATGGTGTAGCTGTGATAAGCTAAAACCAGTCAGTCGGGCTCTGTAATATGTAAAAGCTTAGTAGACAAGCAGTCAAGTGTGTTTTATCCTCTTTTACACTAACTACTCATGACAAGCCTTTCCAGTCATGGTTTACATTAGAGGATGGAAACTGCTTTAAAAATTTTGCTTTAAGGGCGACACTGTTTTTATCTGTTATTTATTATTTTAGTTTAGTGTTGGACAGAGCCGGCATAAATGTTCCACCATTTTTAATGAATTATTATATATGATATATAATATAATAATATATATAATATATAATTATATTATTATATTTGGTATGTTTTTTAGGTGGTAGGGGCTTTCCCTTCAGTCTGTACTCCACTTCAGAATTTTCTTTGAGTGATTTCTGAAACGTTAAACATTTAAACACAGATAATGATCATTTTGATAATGATTATGGTAGACAGCTGCAGCAGTCAATAAAATGACACAGGCACTATAATTCCACACTTCATTGAGTTAATTTACTCTATGTTATCACTATAACCTCTAGATAGTCTCCTATACACTATGGGTGTTAGCTAGCTGTATCATGTTAACTTAGCTGAAGTTACCTATTCTACTGTCTTAGCTAGTTTTCTTATCTTTTAATATTCTTGATACTGTAATGATAAGCTTGAGAAATCAATCTAGAGTTTGCAATAATCTCACAGCAGTTGAGAACTGGGCTGGTTCTGCCATCTATTTGCAGAGGGAATGAACCCACAACTTAGTGTGTAACATGCAGTGACACTGAAGAAGTCAACACTGAGGACACAGAGATGAAAGGAGAGGAGGAAAATTTATGTAAAATTGTGTAAAATTGATAAGCAATACTATAACTTTCTTTAATCTTCGTTCTATTGTCTCTAACAGTTGGGTTTATTCTTTCCCATGCAGCCTATAATCCCTGCTAAAAATCCCTTGAAAAGCCTTGAAATCAGGTGCATTGGCTGCAGTTTGAACAAGATGGATGCCTGTGGATTACAGGGTGCTGATCTCTCAGGTCCTGACTGATGTGGCTAATGTGCTTGAGGAGAAATGGTCAACGTTAGCTCTATACACCCTGACTGCTGAAGTCAGGGGAAAACCATCTTACTGCTTGGCTTTTTTTCTTGCGTCTGTGTTTTTTGGGACATTTCCATTCGATACCTAATTGTCCTGAAAGCTGCTTTTTGCAGTAAAGCAGTTTGGTGATAAAAGAGTTGTCAATATAAGGTCAGTTACAGCCATCTTAACCAGCAATACCTGCTTTTTAATGCTTGCACCTTTAATGCAGTGGAAACATTTTCACTCACTTGTTTTTTTGTATCTACAAACGTAATGTAAGTCAGACATTCTAAACTTTGTTTCACTTTTTGGTCTCCACCATCTATTGAGGGATCTGACAGCAGTTTTGTTTCTCTTTTTTGTGAGCAGTATTTTAAGGAATACAACATTTAGAGTGGTACATCACAGGATTTAAATACTTAAAGACAAACAACAAGACAACACAGAGCTGGTGAAGGAAATAGGGGAGGTGTAAATGTGAGTGGGTGTGGTTAATGTGAGGATGCTCATTTCTGTTCAGTCTGGGATGAATGGAGTGAGGAGGGGGAAAGGTTCAAAGTTCAAGTTTGTTTTATTTATATAGCACATTTATTTACAACAGCAACATTGACCAAAGCGCTGGACAGAAGTACAAAATAACTTATAACTTATTATTACCAAATACCTCTCGTACTGTCTTAAAAAAGAAAAAAAGAAAAGGAGGTGAATATTATCTTCTGTTAATGATCATCGCATATGTATATGTTTTTTCTGTGGTGTGAAAAAGTGTTTGCCTCCTCATAGTGTTTTGCATATTTTTCACACTTATATGTTTCAGATCATCAAACAAATTCTTATTATTAGACAAAGGTAACCTGAGTAAACACAAAATGCATTTTTTAAATGATGAATTCATTGATGAATTCAGAAAAGTTATCCAAGCCTACTGCTCATGTGTGAAAAAGTAATTGCCCCTCTTGTTAAATCATGAATTAACTGTGATTAACCACATGCTTTGGAAAGCTGAGCTCAGTTTCATTAAACACACTCAGGCCTGACCTGCTGAGTCAAGAAATCACTTAAATAGAACATGTCTGACAAAATAAAACAGGCTAAAAGACGTCAAAAAGCAACACTTCATATCACGCTTTAAAGAATACCTGAGAAACAAAGTCACCGACATCTGTCAGTCTGAAAAGGGTTACAAAGATGTTTCTAAGGCTTTGGGACTCTATTGAACCACAGTGAGAGTCATTATACACAAAACAGAAAAAAAGAACAGCAGTGAAGCTTCCAATAAGTGACCAGCCTACCAAAATTACTCCAATGGCACTCAAACCAGGAGGTCACAAAAGAACCCAGAACAACAATAAAGGACTGCAGGCTTCAGATTTCTCAGTTAAGGTCAGAGTTCATGATTCAACAATAAGAAAGAGTAAGAAAGAGTCTGGGCAAAAATGTCATCCATGGGTTCAAGGAGAAAACCAGTCCTGACCAGAAACAACATGAAGGCTCATCTCACATTAGCCAACCCCTCCCCCAAAAAGAGCCAAAAAGATTTGACTCCCACACAGCATTTCAGAAAAGGAACAGCATACCAATAGTAAAATATGGTGATGGTAGTGAGATCTGAGGCTCTTTTGCTGCCTCAGGACCTGGAAGACTTGCTGTGGTAAATCGAACTATGGATTGTGCTGTCTACCAAAACATCTTGAAGAAGAATGGCACTGTTCAGTCTGTTCATGACCTAGTTCTGCAGCAGGACAATGATTCAAAACACACCAGCAAGTCCACCTCTGAATGGGTTAATAAAAACAAAATGAAGACTTTGGACTGGCTTTTTAAGTCCTGGCGGTCCCAACCAGTTATTAGGTTTAGGGGGCAAACACTTTTTCACATAGGGTCATGTAGGTTTGGATTTTTTCCCCCTTCAATAATAAACACTTTCACTTAAAATTGTGTGCATTTTGTGTTTACTAAGATTCTTGAAAAAGTCCTTTTTGACCAGCTTCAGACATTTTTTGTTTAACTTGCATGATACGTAGGATAGTTTCAGTCATGTTTCAGATCACATTACAGCACAGAGACTAGACAACTCTAGAGTTCTGGTCTCTGTACTCATATACAGTGCGTATTCTGACACTGGCTCTGAGTACGGGCTGATAACAATGATGGACTTGCAGTTGTGTTTATTGGTTTTCAGGAACAAGAAGTGACAATATTTGGATGACAGGGTGGACTTGAGCTAAAACTAGCTAGCTTGGTTAGTAAGCAATCCATAAACTATACAGGTGCAACACAGAGACAAAAAATGTAATGCTAATAAGTGCACAAATTTTTCACAGCAAGCCAAAGTATTAGTCAAAGTATTATTTCCTAATAAAGTTAAGATAGATAATAGAGTTAAGTATAAAACTTAAGCATAAAAAATGTGAATGTGGCATGTTGTATAAAGGATTTTGAGTGCTCTAGGAGAGTACAGGCGATCGTAGCTCAAGAGTTGGGAGTTCGTCTTGTAATCGGAAGGTTGCCGGTTCGAGCTTCAGCTCAGACAGTCTTGGTCGTTATGTCCTTGGGCAAGACACTTGACCTGTTGCCTACTGGTGGTGGTCAGAGAGCCCAGTGGCGCCAGTGTCTGGCAGCCTCACCTCTGTCAGTGTGCCCCAGGGCAACTGTGGTTACAATGTGTGTGAATGGGTGGATGACTGAATGTAGTGTAAAGTGCTTTGGGGTCCACAGGGACTAAGTAAAGCGCTATACAAATACAGGCCATTACCATTTAGAGAAGCGCTATATAAGAATCATTCCATTTACCAAAATGGTTTCTTTTACCAGGCTGTATACATGCTTTTTAATGCTATTTTATTTGTGCAGTTTAACATGTGCATCTATGGGGACTGACTTGCTCTTGGAACTGACATCAAATGCCCATTAGAAGAACTGCAGTTTTTGGCACAAAGGCCCCAGAGGTTGCCTTGTGGGTCAGAGAATAAAGGTGCTTTTGCGGATATCTGGAGATATTATAGTTGTTATAATTTAAATATTAAACAATAATACTGACTAACTAAAAAAAATCTTCCACTCTGAGAAGCTTGTATTTCCTAAAATCCAATGCCTCGAGAGCATAAGTATATGTCAACCTGCCTATGAACACAGAAAAATAAACAAACTAAAAAAATAAAACCCTAGTAGGACTACAGAGATGGTAAATAAAAACAAAACTGTTGAGTATTGATACCAGCTGAAATTAATGAAAAGATATGTTTTTGTTATAGTTCCAGCCTTTAATGATAAAATAATTGTAAATTAACCTACCATTAGTAGAGTTCCCTTAGAGTTTGTTGCAACCTGACTTATGATTTCTACATGCAGACATTTTATTGCAAAGTCTAAGAGACAATGTTACAGTTTTACTCTAAAACTGATTACAAGAGAAATGCTGCAGCATTAGCTTATGGCAGAG